AGGGCGTTGAAAATGTCGGTTAGTAGAGATTTGGGTTGACTCAAAGCCCCACTCTCATCGGTCGGCTCGAAACAACTAAGCAGACTTAAACTTCTACTGAAATTATGTAAGTAACCATAATATACATGCACTTACATGTCGGGAACATGTGGGTAGATGGTTAGAGGTGGACCGGCGGCGTGTCTTGCGAGCCCTGCGTTTATCGCCCGCTGCTGGTGGTATCTGCTCCCGAGGTATGAGTGGTGGTGCCAGGTGGCCGCCGCCGGCGGCGACACCACCATCCCCTGGGATCATTCTGGCGTCCGGAGTCTCGTCCGAGGCTGTCCGGTGGTAGGGAACAAAGAGCCCGCTCAGTTTTTTCTTCAACTTCTTCGGATCAGGCAGATTTTTGGAGAGGCGCGGTCTGTAGGCCGACGGTAGATCCAAGTACTGAACGCCGTCCGGCCGCGGGTACACCCGATGCTGCTGATCCCTCTCCACCCTCGCGGATTTACTGCCAGTTTGGACTTCGTCTGATGTGATTTGGACGCGGGGAGGCTAGTTGGGCGCAACATACAAAAATGACGAAAAGTAAGGGCTCACAAGCAAAGGCACAATCACTTTTCAAATAACTGTCAAAAGTTAGTTATAAAGTCCTCCCGAGGAAATACCGACGGTTCACTGTCAATATATACTGCAAAATGGAATATAACTTACCAAGTCCAATTGGTGCTGAAATTTCACTTTTTGGTCCGCTTTGATTGAATAAGCTCGAGGCCCTGCCAGACAATTGTATTCTGCAAAAAAGACAAAATAAGGTAATTAGGTAGATTATTGTTATGTTATGTTATTGATGTAGTCGTTTGCAGTGTGGTGACGGCAAAACAGGATAGCACGTCTGTCACACGAAATAGGGGAACTTTGGTTAAGTCAACCACCACCGCAACCAAAATCGACCCGTATATATTAACTGACTTTGAAATATCTATACAGTAGTCGCCGGTTATTAAGCCTACGGTTAATAGGCTCAGCCGCGTATTAAGCCCGAATCAGCTTGGGACGGAAT